GTTTTAAAGCCTGATGGGAACCTGGGTCCTTGTTTTCGTTTTTTCTCTGTTTTTGTTTTTTAAAAAAATTTTTTTTTGTTTTTTGAGAGAGAGAGAGAGAGAGAGAGCAAGCGTGAGCAGGGGAGGGGCAAAGAGAGAGGGAGGCACAGAATCTGAAGCAGGCTCCAGGCTCTGAGCTGTCAGCACAGAGCCCGATGCGGGGCTGGAACCCACAAATCGTGAGATCATGACCTGAGCCGAGGTCAGATGCTCAACCAACTGAGCCACCCAGGTGCCCCTGTTTCTGTTTTTCAATCCAAAGTGTTCTGAGGATGAGGTAGACAGGGGCATAAGTTGTATATGGGTTGGGGAGGCACAGGGAGCAGGGATTGAGTTCACCTGGATCCAGATTAGAAGCCATTCTCCCTGTGATCCCTCAGTGTGGACATAACCCTACTGTCTTAGACCTGTTGCTCTGTCTGACCCCAGTGACTGCACCGTGGGGCCTATTCTAGCTGCTGCTTCTGGTCCTTCCCCTCCCCGCACCCCTCCTCCTCCTTCTTGACATTCTTTTCCTCAAATGTGTCCAGTTTACGGTTCTCTCTTTGGACTATGACCTTACACCTCACTCACTTGGGTCTTCTCTTTTTTCTCTGTGTCTTCACTCTGCCTCAGGGATTCTTAGCTATTTTTCTACCATGGGTTCCACTGGGGTCCATGATCCCTGCTCAGGAGAATGTTTTCATTATTTAAGTTTATTCATTTTGAGAGAGACAGAGACAGTGAGAGCGGGGGAGGGGTAGAGAGAGAGAGAATCCCAAGTAGGCTCCGCACTGTCAGCACAGAGCCCGACTCGGGGCTCGAACTCACGAAACCGTGAGATCGCGACCAAAGCTGAAATCCAGAGTTGGACACTTAAGCGACTGAGCCGCCCGGGTGCCCTGTGTTTTTAAATATATAAAATAAAGTATGTAAGATTATAAAGGAAATCAATTGCATTAAAATATAGCTATCGAGCCTTATGTTAAAAACAAAGCTGTGACACGTGACGTGTGTTTCTTTCTTAAGGCCTCAAGCGACACAGCCCCGCAGTGGGCCCAATAACTCCCATGACTTCAACACGGTGATGCGTAGAAATCTTTCGAGCTGTTTGCCACGAGGCTGATAGGATATGAAAACATCTGCAACTTCTTTTGGTGACGAGGACCCAGGTTTTACTGATACCTGTGTGCTTGTGGCTTGCAGTGAGCACCGAAGAAAACGAAGAAAATGAAGAAAACGCTAACCTTCAGTTAGAGGTCCTCTGAATTCTGTTCAGGAACTCCTTGGGAGGCTGTGACCCAAGGTTCAGAAGCCCTGGCCCCAGGGCTCGGGTTTCCATTGTTTGTTGATTTCTTCCTTCCTATTGTTCTTAAATGACCCAGAGCCAATTCTCATTTAGTCCGTAGGCAATGAAACTGATAATAGTGATCGCTTTCCAGGCGGGGGCAGTGAGGCCCTGGGACACGCACAGCTTTGTAGTTTGTGGGACAGGGACCTCACTGTGGAGCTGGAAGGGAACACTGGCGCCCTTGGAGTCAGATCAATCTAAAGATGGAGGTAGAGCACCTCAGGGGAGGGTGCCAGCTCAGCACTGACCTCGGTCCAGAGAGCGGCCCGTATTCACCAAGCACACACACCCACACACGCACAGCTGTACACACGGTACGGAAAATGGTGGCACTGGCATCCGCTGGAGCGAGAAGCAGGGCCAGGCCCCAGTCACGAGGCACCTGGCGTGGGACCCTCTCCTACCTACAGTCACTCAGCAGCGGGCTGCCCCCGCCCACCTGCCTCACCCTCTCTGGCCCCGCCGCACAGCTTGCCAGCTTTCTTCTCCCTGGGGGAGGCAAGTTCATTGTTAGCGCTTGTCACCCCGTTTTTCTCGCGTCGCCTTTGTCTCCTGGGGTGCTTGCCTGCCTAGTTCAGGGCCTCCCCGCTTCCTGCTCTTTCTTCTGTGCTCCCTCTGTCAGCCAAAGTAACCCTTATCTGGCTAAAATGTGTCAAGAACACCGCTGAAATCCACCTGTACACAGGAATAGGAAGAGCTCTAAGGCCCAGAGAAATCAGAGCCAGCAACCAGGAATTCCTGGGCCTGACATGTGGGAGGCGCTCAGCGAGTGTTTGCTTAATCGAGTTACCGGGTAAAGAGCCCTGAAAGCTCCCCAAAGCCTCTTCTGGCATTTCCAGCAAGGTCACCATGTATCCCTCACCTTCTCTAATTAAGCTGGCTTTTCCTCAAGTGCCCGCTGTCCAAGGTGAACAAAATGTTTTCAACCAGTGTTGCTGGTTTTGTTTGCAACAGTATTTCTCAGTATCATGCTTCACCCCCAGTGTGGGGTAATTAGTTTTGTGCCGAAGGAAGGGAGTGAGCATGGGAGGTGGGGGGCGGGACGGGGGTGGTCAGCCACCATCCACCGTCGTCTCCTGGAAGGTGGCCCGTGTGAGGGGGCATCTGTACGGGGCACCCGGAGCCCACAGGACTCTTTCAGGAACCCCTCCAGCACCCGGCACGATCTTGCTTTCTTCTTCCGGGTGAGTGTCTTGACGGGCTGGGTGGTCTTTCTGTTCTCTGGTTGTGCACCTGACTCAGTGCCACAGTGTACTGGCGGGCTGTACGGGTTCATCAATTTTTTAAAGTTTATTTATTTATTTTGAGAGAGAGAGAGAGAGAGAGAGAGAGAGAGCTTGCACGCTCGTGGGAGGAGGGCATAGAGAGAGGGAGAGAGAGAAACCCAAGCAGGCTCTGTGCTGTCAGCACACAGTCCAACACGAGGTTCGATCTCACGAACCAAGAGATCATGACCTGAGCCAAAATCAGGAGTCGGATGCTTAACTGACTGAGCCACCCAGGTCCCCCCAGGTTTTTTTTTTTTTTTTCTTCTTCAGAGAGACAGAGAGACAGAGACAGTGCACATGTGAGCATGGTGGGGGTAGGGGCAGAGGGAGAGAGAATCCCAAGCAGGCTCCACGCTCGGTGTGGGGCCTGACTCGGGGTTCGATCCTACGACCCTGATCGTGAACTAGGACGGATCATGAACTGAGCCAAAATAAAGAGTCCCCTCAACTGACTGAGCCACCCGGATGCCCTCCAGGTTCATTGTGTTGATTCTTTTCTCACAGGAGAAGTCTGTATTAAGGCAGATAGGCCCATTTTTTTTAATGATAGAAATTGCTAATAGTTAGCAAACGCTACTCTGTACCAGGCGTAGTGATAAGCCTGTCACACCCGCCATCTCATTTAATCTCCCATATGCAGCCAGAGAGATCCTTTCACAGTGGAAATCACATCCTGTCCCTCCCCAAGGACCCAGGCACACTTGCCGTCAGGCCCACACCACATCCTGCAAGGCTCCTGTTCCAGCTGCACCTCTCTGCCCGCTTCCCCTGATCACCACCCTCCTTGCTGCTCCAGAACTGGACAAGAAGGCCCTGCCACAGGGCCTTTGCACTGGTTCTTCCTCCCGGGCCCTGCCCAGAGCACCCCTTCACTTTATTAGGCCTTCTCTAGCGTCTCTTCAGAGAGACACTCGCCCCATCCCAAATATCACTCGTTAAGCTCGGCTGACTTCTGTTCCTTTCTAATAGAACTCAGCACCCCTAGCCATTTTATTATAAATCTATTTGTGTGGTTGTTTATTACCGATCTCCGCACTAAAAGCAAAGCTCCATGAGAGCAGGGACCCTGCTTTGTTCACTGCTTTATTTCCAGCACCAAGAGCCGTACCTTCAATGTGAATAAATATAGAGCCAATGAATAAATAAATGGATGAATATTCACAAAACCCCATAATGTGAGTGGTACTATCACCCCCATGCTAGAGATGAGAAAACTGAGGTTTAGAGAGACTGACCATATTCCCGGGGTCATAAAACTAATGAGCCGTCTGGGACCAGAGGTCAAAATGTCTTGCCTCTGGGGTCTAACTCTTAGCTTCTGTGCTAGCTCACCTCTCTCTGCACTTTTAAGTGCCTGCCAGTGTTTTTATGTGAGAACCCTATTTTCCTGAGACACTCTGAGAAAAAAGCCATTCGATGGGTGACTCCGTTTGGAAAATCCTGCAAATTACATTTCCTGCTTGGTGGCCTAAGAAAGGCTCTGAAAAGTCCCGCAGTATAAATCCTGGTTGAACTTTTGTAATCAGTGTTTCCCAAAGCATTGACTATAGACATCTTGTATTTATTTATTGGTGTGTGTAACATCTATTAACATATTGCAAAGCATACCTCGGAAGCAATAGCTTTTGTCCTTGCGGAGAGAAGCAGATTGTCTGGTACAGGATTCCGGGAGGTCTCTCTGGGTTGGCTGGGGTGGGAAGTCTGGGACCAGGGGCTTCCTCTCCTAGCAGGAGGGCCCGTGCCTGAAGTCAACGTCCCACAAAGCTGGCACCTGAATCCAACATGTTTGCTCACCCACTGTCATGTTCACCTCCAAACCAGGAAGGCAGCAGTGAGGCTCCTGGCCCCTGTTAGTTGCACCCCAACCCAAGCATGCTTCTCTACAGAGATCTGGGCACCGGCTCATCTTCTGCCCTTTGATTCCTGTACAGGTGACACTTGGTGTTTCTCCTGAGCTTCTTAGAGAACAATTCCTTAGGTGTGCCTCTCAGAGACATCAACCCCACAAACCTGGCCTTGCTCTCTTACTGTCTCATTTCTCCCTATTGGAATTTTCACCTAGAGGAACAGGGACACTCCCTTACCCACTTGTGTCCTCTCGGCCACCAACTCGGTGTTGAACACATGGTCGATGGTAAATGCCTAGACCATTCTTGTTGGTTTGACTGTGATGATCCTGCACGTTGCACAGTTTGGAGCAGAAAAGGATAGATGGTGATGTTGTAAACCCCTTAATTCATTGCCAGAGCCGCCTCCACCCCCGTCCTGAGCAAAGGAGAAAGGTGCCCCAGAGGCAGACAAGACTATGGAGGGAAATGTATGTAACTGACTGCATCTCTGTGTTCCTGGCAGGGCTGGAGCCAGTCAGCGTCCCGATGTGTTCATTTTTATTGGTTTTGATGGTGATTTGATGTCATCAGGGATTCAGGTCTCACGTTCGTCCCTGCGATCATCTGAATAGCACTGGTGACGGGGAAGGGAAAGAGCAGAGACAGGCACCCATAGGCAGCCTGGATCGGACCGTATAAATCTGGGAGGAGGGAGGGGGCCGGACAGCCCGGCCTTCCCAGCTGGCACACGAGGCTGAGTGGAAGCCAGCGACAGGCAGTGGAGCGGGAGGCGTTGTGCCTTCACCCCAAGTGACCATGAGAGGGGCCATGCGAGTCTCAATCATGTTCCTTCTGGTGACTGTGTCAGACTGTGCCGTGATCACAGGGGTAAGTCGTCCAACTTCCTCTACGCCCTGGGTTTGGGGGGGGATGTCAGGGTCTGCAAGGGATGGGAGCCAGCGACCATGCAGGGGGCAAGCCAAAAAAACTGGGGCGTCAGCCGGCATTTTAGAGAGGTGTTCCACATGATTTTCGGATTAGTTAGACCTCACTCCACTAGACGGGATCCACTTTTGAGCAGCTGTGTGTAAACCAAATCTAATTTCCAACTGCATTAGGAGAACATCAAACATTTTGACGTTTCGGCCTCTGGTAACATGAAGATTCCTATTGTGTAATAAGAAATTCCTCTATAAAGTGGGTTAGCACCCTCTGATTTATCTTTTGTGAAAATTTTGGTTTTCATATACAATGTGGTCCACATGTCAGGTTTAGTTTACACAGCATGATGACTTGATTAAACGCAGTGACCTTATGAGCTTTAATTGGGGGCATTTAACCTCTGCCTTTTCCACTCTTAAGAAAGGTTGCCTAGAAATTCTTTCTTCCCTTTATTTTTTATGTATTTTAGCCGTGCCCAGTTCTGATAAGAACATTTGGCTGGGTGCACCCAAAAATAAGCATCGGGTACCAAGCAGAAATCTAGTCTCCCAAGGGACGTTTGCCACACACAGGCGCTGCCTGTCTTAGAATTCAAAACACTCGGATTATGGTTCTCTTGTAGCATTTTGGCTTTAACCGGAACCACCCTTAAATGTGTTACAGTGGTGGGACCATTCTTACTAAAACAGAGAGTAATACTTTACCAGAGAGCTTTCCAGATAAAAGCCGCTAGAGGAAAAAAAAAAAAAAAAAAAAGAGGGAAATTTATTATTTTTTTCCGAAGTCCCTCAACTTTTTACATAGAGAATGAAAACGTAGAAAAATGCCAAACAATTCCTGGAATCGTATTAGTTTTAATATTCACAGAAAGGAAACCTTCTTTCTTCTCCTTTTTAAAGGAAAAAGACTGAGTTTCAAAGACAAACAAATATTAAAGGCAAGTCCATGCTTTTGAGACCCGGAGCATGAATAACACTGTTAGGGCAAAATTATACCTAATGAATGTCAGCCTCTGAATCTTCCTACTGTGTAGCTTGACCATCGGGGAGGCTGAGAAAGAAGGACAGAAGCCACCGAGAGGGATGGGGGCTGAGGGTTCACGCTGATGCCCAGGTTACCTCACTGTGTGAGCTCTAACATCTGGCCGAGTGGTGGGAAAATGCCTTTCTAGCAAACCCTGCAGCTGGACCTTTTGAAAAGCACAGTGAGGGAGAAATCTAGGGTGGAAGGAAATGCATGTCAGACATGTGCAGGAGAGTGTGGGACCCAGTGCTGAGGGGGTCAGGACCTCCCTCCATTCTCCATGCCCAGGGGCTGCCCCAGGGCGACTCCCAAGAAAAGGCTGGTAGGACATGGTCATATGGCCCTGCTCCCTGCATAGTGACCATCCCAAATTCAGGCTTGGATGGTCCTTCCTGCCAGAGTGGGGACAATGATGTCCCAACTCTGTGGGAGAAGAGTCAGGTAGGCCTGCTCGGCCCCAACCCTGGGCTTTCAGGGGCTGGTCGGTGTGAGAGATGTACCCTCGCCGGGCTGGAGACCTGCATGGCCAGGTGACTGCCCCCTGCACCTCTTCTGGGTGACAAGCAGACCCTGCGCCCCCACTTTCCTTCCTGGGGCTGAGCCAGTGGGCAGCCTCCCGCTCCTGCCAGGTCCCAGGCAGGCAGCCAGAGCCTGCCCCATGGCCTTCTGTTGGAGAAGAGTGAACCAAAACCCAGTTGTGAATCTCAGCTCAGATAAGCCACAAAGCTTTCCTGCAAGCGGAAAGATTGGGTGCTTCTCCATCGTGGCCCCACTTGAGTCTGGAGCAGCTCAGAGGTCGATTTTGTTTGAAGCAAGCTTGTGTGGCCTTCTTTTCAAATGGCAACTTCCAGAAACCAGGCAAGGCTGCCCAGCTCCTGTTTGGAGCCCAACCCAGAGGGGTCCATCCCTACCTGGGGTTCAAAGAGGCCTGCTGAGAAGCACTGGGGGAGACACCGCTTCTCAGGGGGTGCCGGCCCCCGGCTGAGGCGGGGATTCCGGTGAGGGCCGCAGTGGGGGCCAGCACCAACCCCGGGTGTGGGGTCAAGGTTGGAGGGTCTGGTCCCAGGAGACTCAGCACTGACCACCTAGGGGCTTGGGCCATCAATGCCCCTCCCGCCTTTGGGAATTCAAATTAATTTGATGTCACCGGTGTCCCTTGAGCATTTCCCAGTGCTGGAAGGGCCATGTCTCCTAACTTCTAAGGTTGTCAGGAGAGTTGCCCCCCTATTGGGCAGCCTCAGTGGAGCTTGGTTCGGGGGGGGGGGGTGGTCCTCAGATGCAGTTCTGCTGCCCCGCGGAGGCCTGAGCATCCTGTCGTGAGCGGAGCAGGAGCAAGAATGAGCTGCCCAAGGTGTCAGGCCATCAGGGTTTTCGAATGTACCTCTTCCTTCCGGTTTCTCTTGAGTGGCGCTAATGGGCACTAACGACTCGTGTCTCCCCTCTCAGGCCTGTGAGCGGGATGTGCAGTGTGGGACGGGCACCTGCTGCGCCATCAGCCTGTGGCTGCGTGGGCTTCGGATGTGCACCCCGCTGGGGCGGGAAGGAGAGGAGTGTCACCCGGGCAGCCGAAAGGTACTGCACAGACTTGCTCAGGGCAGAGAGCCGGCGACACAGCTGGGACTGGACCCCGATTTTCAGACTGACTCTAGGATCATCTTGGGGGTGTTGGGCACTGCCTCCTTGCTTTTTGGAGAAAGCTTGGGGTGGAGTAGGGGGGCACTAAGCACACACCTTGTTAGATCTGTGGGCTGGAACCCCAGCTGCTCCTCTGCTGTGTGGTCTTGGGCAATTAGCAGGACTTGTCTGGGCCTCGGGCGCTGTATACAACCGGGCGAGTAGAATGATTACCGCTGAAGTCTCTTTCAGATCTGAATATGAACTCAGATTCTCAAAGGGTCCCGAATGGCCTCTGCCCCTGGACCCCTCCCTCAAGAACATGCAGTAATACTCATGGAAGGGCCTTCCATCCAAGGCCTGGTTAGGGTGAGGCAAGGCCCGTGCCCAACGCATACACTTTAAGGAGGCGCTCACTCTTTGGGGCCCCAAGCACCTGACTCTCGCCCTGCTCCCAGCCCAGGGGGCATCGAAGGGCCACGAGGTCTTTGCTTCTGAACGGCCAGGTACAGGAGCAGCCACAGGTGTGTACAGGGACCCGTGTGTCTGTCACCTTCCCCGGCTTCCTGTGGTTCAGGAGTCCTTCGTGCTCTCCTGGGGGACATGCCTACACCGGGAGCCCTGGTTTCTTCTGGGGTCAGAGCATCATCCTGTAGTCACCCCCCCCCCCATTGCAGCTGCTTGGGGGGTGGGGGGGAGATGCAGCTGAGCCAAGACCCTCGGGACAGCACAGCAGTCCTTGCTGCCTCGGGGTGTGTCAGGTGGTTCGGCTGCAGACCTCCGTTCCCAAAAGGGACACTGGTGGCGACATAACCGCGTGCCACTTTTCAGACCGCCTGCTTTTGCAAACATATAGTTTAAACCTCTTCACAATCATTTGTGGTAGGTGCTATTATGAACCCATTTTGAGGATAATAACACCCATTTTTGAGACACCGAGCTTAAAGGACTCGCTGGTTTTCACACCGCTGGGAAGTTGGCAGACCTGGGATTGGAACCGGGGGCAGTCTGACGCTGTCTGTGGTCACAACCATTCCTATTCACCCTCCTTTGAGGAAGCCTCAGTGGTCTAGCCTCTGGGTGAGAGTCACGGGGCAGAGGCAGTGTCTGTCCTGTCCACGGCTGCGTCCCCAGTACCCAACATCAAGCGCACGCTAAGTGAACTGTGAGATTCAGTCAACGACCGTGTGTGCGTGCATTCACGTGGGTGTCAGGTCAGTGAGGGGACTTGGCTAGGCAGCTCTGGGACTTTAAGGTTGGAGCGGACAGCACAGTATTATGGACGATTACATCGTCTCGAGGGCCAGATTGCCCGGGTTCAAATCCTGACTCCTCCCCAAATCAGCTGTGTGATCTTGGCATGTCGCTCAGCCGCTCTTGCCTCAGTTTCCTCCTCTGCAATAACTGTGATTGTTATGCTGGGTGGAGGGGTGAGACACCGGGGAGGGCTGGGCTGTCCGGGGCCCCCTGCGGGAAGCCCACTTCCCTTATGGTGAAGGTGTCATCCTATTTCTCCTCTTTCTCCAGGTCCCCTTCTTCAGAAAACGCCAGCACCACACCTGCCCCTGCCTGCCCAACCTGCTGTGCTCCAGGTGCCCGGACGGCAGGTACCGCTGCTCCACGGACTTGAAAAACATCAACTTTTAGGAGCCTGGCTGTTGTCGGCACACACGCTGGGCCTCTGCATGAGAACAGCCTGGGGCGGGGGGGGGGGGGGGGCTCTTATGGATTTTGATTTCTGCCACGTGGCCCAGCTCCCCCACCGCCCCGTCCCCAGGCCCCAAGCTGCTTCCCCCCATCCCTGCTTCCTAGCCCACATCTGTGCATTCATGCAGACACCCGCACATGGTCCGCCAGGCTGGCCTGAGGTTGTCCCAGCCGAGGGCCGTGGTCCTGGCAACAGCTGTTCCGGCTGGCTGAGGGGTTGTATGTGATCGGAAGGACACTGTTTTCCCTTAGCTCCTGCCTCACTCACCTGTCTGCTCCTTAGAGGTGACTTGTCCTCCTCCCCGGGCCCATCTGTCCCTCCTCCCGCATGTGCTCTCTGCCTGAACCTGCACATCCCCTTGGGTGCGCTGCTCTGCGTCTCTGGCCTGAGCCTCAGGCCCTTTCTGTGAGGCCTGTGACTGTCAACCCGAGAGTCGGTCATCTTCCTTTGACTGACCAACCCCTCGGTCGTAGGCCACGGGCCCAAGGTCAGCCCTTCCCGGGGCGCAGTAGGCGGTGACCTCATGGCAGGCACAGGGAGCCACCAGGCCAGTGCTGCATGGCCTCCGAACCCCTCCCAGCACGCCTTACCAGTTAAGCAGGGAAGCCCCCAATTCCCACTACCTCGCTCTAAAATGCAAGTGGCGGCCGCCGTTTGATCTTATCAGCTATTGACGTTTTAGGAGGCAATTAGGGAGTAACCTCAAACAGCTCCTTCCCAAGGATCGGTCCCTGGGAGCATGTCTGTGACCTTGAGGACCAAGGGCTTCTGCCCAGCTGGGGGGGGGTGGGGGTGGGGGTGGGGGTGTCAGGTGGGAGGGGAGGCAGCAGGCAGGGACACCGACTTTGGATACAGGCGTGCAACCACCACCTCGGGCCCAGGCTGCACAGGCACCACACCCAGAGACAGCGTCTTCTCCAGACAGTGAGGGCTTCCTGAAGTTCAAAGCTGTCTGTCTGGGAGTTGTGTCACTGGCCTCCGTTGTCATCTAAAACACAGTTTCTCTAAGCCCCTCGCATCTGGACCCTGCCCCAGGCCCACCCAGGACAGCGTGGTGATGCCCGAGGCTGCAGAATAAAAGCATGAACAAGGGGCGAGTGGCTGTGGTGTTCCTGCTGTGTCAGGATGGGGACCCAGGGGCGGGGAGGGGGGTGGGACTGGGCCTTTTCCAGGTGGGGAAAGATGCCATTGCTGTCCTCCCATCTAGGGCAATCTTTTTGAGAAAGTAGATTCAGGGTATTTTTGAATGAAGGGTGACAAGCAGTGTGCACAGCGAAGGTGCCGCTCAGGTCTGTGACTCAGGCGTGTGGCTGGGTTGGAGACAGGCAGGGAGCCGTGAGCCGATGTCTGGGTAGGGACTCCACTGTGACAGGACAACTCCCGTTTCCGCAATTGAGTCCCCTGGTGTCCCCTTGGTGTCCACCAGACCCCCACGTGTGGGGTGAAAAGTCCATATCAGGATGGCCCTGAGGCTGTGTCTGAACCCAGGGCCCGGGAGCATCCCCTAAGTGCCAGGTTGCTGTCCCCATGGCCCCGCCTCACCTCAAGTCCTCGCCTAGAAAAAATGCAAAATGTAAGATGAAAGTACGTTGTAGCCTGTGTTTCCCAGAAGCCTCCAAACGCATCGTGGTTCCTGAGGCCCTGGGGGCTCCCGCCCTCCCTCGTTTACGCTTGATCCTTGCTCAGGGGTGCTCAGCGCCGCCTTGACTGCAGGGCTCACTCAGGCCAGGCCTGGGCCTCACTTAGGGGTCGTAGGTTTTGTTTTCAGCTCCTTTGATGGACCTTGTTGCCTGCTCTTGCTGACTTTTGCCCCTTCCTGCAGCCATGAATCTCTTGCCCAGGCTCTGGACAAGGCTCAGCTGCTGGACATAGAGCTCCTGTCCACGTCCGGGGTTCCAATCTGCCCATCCTCTTTCTGTGGGTCTCCAGATACCGCCCATGGCTGCCGCCGGTCGTGCAGGTGTCCCGGGCCTTTCCCAACCCTGCTGCGCCCCCTGCAGGCAGGGCCAGCCTTGGGGGGGAGGTGCCGGCCACGTGTCTCAGCACAGTGGAGAGGGGGACGCCAACCTGTAGCCCCATCCCTCCCCCACCAGGGAGCTGGCCGGTCTGCAGACCCTGGTGAATCGAACAGGAACAATTCTCATTTTTTATACCGGAAGGCTGAGGAATGTATAATTGGCCTCTGCTCCAATTCCCTGCTGCATTTTCCCCCTAAAGACTGAAGAGCAGAAAGGGGAAGGTGGGAGGGGGTAAGAAAAGTGGATTTGTGAGAATTCTTTACATTCGGGAATAGGTTCTTCATAATTATAAAAAGAATCTACTTATGAGAATAATATATCCATAATGAGGATGTGTTTCAGAAGAATCAAATTAGGCCAGGTTTAGGTGAAATGGAGACCCCTTCAGGATTCTGGCCCCTTCAGTGGCAGCCTTACCTCCCCTTAATCTCGGGACCCTTCCTTCCCGACGGGTGGAGTCTGGTGCCATCTAGTGACCAATCTGGGGATGGCATGGAAGGGCCAAGATGCACCCTTCTCAAAACAGATTCCCCAGATGTCCCCAAGTGTTAGATTCAACCAGAGGCTTAGAGGGACAATTCTTCCACCTGTGGAAAGAAATCTGTCACCCTAAGGAGCACAGGAGAAATACTTAGTTGTCCCTATGGGTCCCGTTCCACCTAGATACCTCTTTCCTAGAAGCTGCTGTCGTCTTCCCGTGAGACATCTCTCCCAGCTTCTCCAGGAGTGGGACCACGGAGGTGGGCGGGGCCAGAGGATGATGGGATGCTCTTGCCCCCCACCTGTGCTCCCGGACACAGCCCTGGAGGCGCTGCCTCACCCCCCCCCCCCCGCCGAATCTCCACGTTCTCAGCTTCCACCACCCCCAGGATCAAATTCAGAAGCTCAAGAGCAATGTAGACTTTTTGTCTCTTCTCCTGTCCTTTCTCCCTGCAGCCATGGCCAAGTCTAAGCAATCAGCCTGCCCAGCATGGCCTATGGCAACTGCTGCCAACCTATTCTCTCTGCCTCCAGTTTTCCCCGTAAAATCCACGCTGGCATCTCTGCCAGTCATCTCTCGAGGCGGCACATTTACCTGGTCTGTGCTCCCTGACAGCGCTTCTCGGCCCCAAAAGGGAAAGCCCAGACCTTGGCAGGGAACAAAAAGCACCTGCCCACTCTTTCGCTGCTTCTTCCATGCTCCCCACCAGGCTTCCCGGCCTCAGCACTTGCCCACAGTGTGTGGCAGATGCCATGTATGTCTTTGCCCAGGTTCTTCCTCTATGGGGAATGTTCTGCTTCTCCTCTGGTGTCTGGTGACTTCAACATCTCCTTCAAGAGCCGCTCAAGTGCACCCCCGCCCCCATTGCATCCATCAGAACAAAAACACACCTCAGGCACCGAGTTGGCACCTGCTGTTAGGGGACACCCGTGCCTAGGTCAGCTTCTACCAAAGAGAGAAGGAAGGGCAGCGTCTGAGTCCTGCTTGTGTCCCAGGGTTGAGTAGTGGGAACCGGGCCGGAGCACCTACAGGACGGATGATGGTGGCCTCTCCGGAGGGGCAGGCCCACCCCCAGCCTGTCTCTCCGTGGCCTCACTTCCCAGGACCTAAGCTCCACTCCTGTGCTCAACATGCAGCGGATTGCATCCCTGGGGCATGAGGCCCAGGGACTGAGAAGGACCCAGGCCTGCCGGTGGAGGTGAGGTGGAAGGAGGGCAGGAGTGGGGCTCTGGACCCAGCTCATGGCCAGGTGCGTGCACCTGCCTCACAGCCTGTCGGCCACAGACCCCTGCGCTCACCAGGGCCAGAGACTGCTCTTTCACGGGGCTGGCTTCAGGGTATAGGGGCCAGGGTTCTTCTCATCACAGACCAAGCCCAGTACCAGGGTACCAAGCCCAAGTACCAGGGGATACTGAGTACGTGACAAAGGATGTTGGTGGGCTATCTGCCTCCCGTGGCAGCCCCTCTCCAGACCCAAATTACACAAGGCCGTGCCCTCCTGCCGTCCACACTGTGGCCTGTCACTGATGGCAGAAGGGAGTTGGAGGAGAAATTGCGGGGGAGGGCCTGCGTGGCCCAGACACCTCCCTACATCTTCAGGGTGGAGACACTGGATGTGGCAGCCTGGCTGGCTTTCAAGACCCAAGCCTGGATCCATGCTGTGGATGGGGAGGATGCTGGGACACCTCGGCAGATGGGAAGGGAGGGCCCCCCAGGGGATTGAGAAGTTTCCGGTCATCTGAAGTAAAGCCCCGGTCAATTAACTAATTAATTCATTACCAGTTTATCAGCTAAGGGGTCCCTGTGTTGTATGGTAAACAAAGGACCATGAGCTGCTGGAGGACAGAGACTGTGGTTGTTTCCTGTGTCTTGTGCGCGGCCTAGAGCTGTGCTCAACAGACATTTCCTGAATGAATGAACAAATGAATGAATGAAAAGCAGCGACGGCGCTTCCTGGGAGGAGGCGGGCTGGTGAGGGTCTCAGGGGTCTCTGGGACGTGGGGTTCTATAGCTGCCACCTCCCACAGACCCTCTCCTCCCAGAGTCCCCACACCCCAGTGCTCACCCAACCATCTCCTTGCAGGTTCTTCCTCACCGGGGGAAGGGCCTTGGGGGCCCTGGAGATGGGGAGAGCCATACACAAAGTCAATGGCAGCCCTGAGGGTCCAGGAGGGGCCCCCCAGGGCAGAGCGGCAGTGGGAAAGTGCAGAACTGCCCTTGTTTGTGAGCGCAAAAATCTCGAATTACACAAGTTACATCTACTTCTGCTGGATGGACTTTGTCGTGGCGGAAGAAAAACAAAAAAGGACCCTCCCATCTAAGAGAATGGTAGTTGAAGGTAGGGCAGAGGAAGGGGACCCGGCAGGGGAGATGTCACCAGTCCGAGGCTGTCGCTGAGCTGAGCAAGAGGAGGGCCTGAGGGAAGCCAGGCGGGCCAGCACGGGGAGCCCTCCACATGGGGGACGAAGGGCCAGACACAGACTGAGCCCAGGGCAGAGGGCAGAGCCTCCGAGGGCAGGCAAGGGCCTGAAATGCTAGAGGCTTGGTTCCCTGGAAATCGGCTGCTAAGCCCTACTCCGTCTGAATGTTGAACGATGACCTCGAGATAGTAGATTGGATAGGATTCCAGCTGGGGGACACAGAATAAACACACGAGGGCGTATGGATCCCTATCTCTCCTATGCACTTCTCCCATCTCGGAGACTCTGGCCACCAGGCTCTGGGGGGGGGGGGTGGCGGCACCGAGCAGAGGCGAGACCCGAGGAGGAAGCAGGAAGCTCCCCTCAGCCAGAGAGAAAGGTCGCTCAGCGGAGGTTCAGGGCTGGGGAGCCGCCTCAGAGCGGAGTTTGCACAGCAAACACACTGTTGTACTTCGAATGTGCATTACCCAGGATGGCTTTGGTTGGGGGCGGGGTGAGGGGGGCCAAGGCCTTGGCATTCTTGCTCTCCCAGAGCTTTGACAGTGATAAACCCTGGGAGCGAGAAATGGCTACTTGAAAATCTGCCCTGTGCCCTTGGACCAGCCCAAGAGTCAACCTGGAAGAATTCACCTGGAACGTGCCAAAAACTCGGATCCCGCCAGATGAGGACGGGAGCACGGGTGGTCCGGGGCCCGCTTTCTGTAGGGATCTCTTCCACCCTTTCCCATGGGGAATTAGAAGGAAAAGTGAAGAACCACCTTCCCACAAGCAACTTTCCTCCATCATCTGGAAATAAAAGATGCTGTACCCATCCAACGGAGTATTATCCAGCCGTAAACAGGAACCAAGTAGTGCTACGTGTCACAACACGGACAGGCCTTGAAAATACCATGCTAGGGAGCCTGGGTGGCCCAGTCGGTTAAGCGTTTGACTCTTCACTTTGGCTCAGGTCATGATCTCAAGGTTTTGGAGTTTGAGCCCTGCGTCGGGCTCTGTGCTGACAGTGTGGAGCCTGCTTGGGATTCTCTCTCTCCCTCTCTCTACCCTTCCCCTGCGTATGCTCTCTCTCTCTCTCTCTCTCTCTCAAAAATAAATAAATAAACTTAAAAAATATATTATTAAAAAATGTTTTAATGTTTATTTTTGAGAGGGAGAGACAGACGGACAGACGGAGCATG